TCGAGAATTGAGTTACGAGATTCGAGATTCGTGTTTCACGAATCGAGCTTCCAGAATTGAGTTTCGAGAATTGAGTTTGGAGACACTTAGTACTCTTTGAGGATCCCGATCCGCAATTTCTAGGAAACGATTTAATTCTCTGACGCATCTCAGACAATTGAAAAAACAAAAACAAAAAAAAACATTATATTGGCCTTTCTAAATAATTGCCACTCACTTAATTACTTACGTTTCTGTCCGTTCTTCAAGCGGCGATGATCTTTGTACCTGCTCTTCTAACGGTGTGGTCCTTGGTTCCTTTTCAGGACGTGGTGCTGTAGATAACAAAAAGTGAAGCAGAGTGGTCTCGTTTCAAGGACATCCAAATTGATAAAGAGATGTCGTCTCAGAGCTGAAAAAAAAAAATTTTCCCCCCTTCACAGTACATGTCCCTTCAAATCTCCGTTTGTTCGGACATTGTCAGTACCAATTTGACCCAACATAACAAGCACAAGGTATTTCAATTCAAGCAATTTTTTTAACACCTATTTCGTTATCGGATCTGTCGTCAAATTTGGCTCGACATTTGTCTGATGACTATTTTTTCCCCAACATTGTGATTACCATGATTAACCTGTAAATTTAGTTTGGTTTTATGAGTTTACTATGTGCATGAATTGGTCACCGTTAAGAAATTCTAAAGCTGATAACATGAAAAACACAATAACAAACTAGCGGAAAGCAGACTTTCCCGACATCTAGGCAGAACGGAAAGGTGCAAAACTCTAGCACTAAGCATTATCTTTAAATTGATCCTGAAGACATGGAAATTATTCCATGAAAAGAGCGCGCGAGCGATGCATCTAAAAACGATGTATCAAAAAACGAACGAGTGTGAGCAGCGAACGAGTGAGTTTTTTGAAACATCGCTATTCGTGAATAAAAATACCCCAAGCCCTTTCCGTGGCCATGGTATGATGTTTGATTTCTTATATACTGAGATTTTTTATGTGAAGACCGACAAATTTCAAAGATTGGAAACGAGCGACTGTGAAAATACATCTTTCGTCCAATCAAAGACACGAACGGTAGTACTTTGTAGTGTTAATCTCAGAACATGCATGTATGAAATAAACAAATATCAACGAATGCTATTCATTCTAATAATTTATTATTATAATTCCTCCGAAGTTACGCAGAAAGGAAGAGAATTCGAGAAGATAAGAGCATAATTATACTACTGTACATGCAAAAATTTTAATTGACAAATTATTAATGGCAGATGTACCTGGTGTTTGGCCGTGCTGTTTTTGCAATCCAGTAAATGGTTTCAAGTCAAAACAGCTACCCAGTAACTCTACATCAACTTTTGAACAAACGCTCATAAAACCAACAGCAGTGCCGTTTACCTTTAGAAAAATAAAAGCACGAAGGAAGTTTACCCTAAAAAAAAAATTATCCTAATTAGGATAATTTTTTTTAGAGTACCCCTGAAAAAGTAGTTTGTTTTCTTTAAATACAAAATATTTAATTCATTTTAATATAATATACATGTATTTATTTAATTGTGTGGTTTCAAGAAATGTCAGTGTAATTAGACTATGAAGTGGAAGATCCAAATGGAAAAATCAATAGAGCTGTTCGGGAATGTTCCAGGTAAGTTACAAAATGTACTTAGGGCTCAACATTAGCTTTCCAACTTCCTAGCCAAGTGGCTAGTAACAACTTAGATGTTACGACAATTTCAGTTTGTTTCCTAGCCAAACTGGCTAGTGTAAATCGAAAACCACTGGCCAAAACTGAATTTCTACTAGT